CAAAGGAGAAGATAAATCTAATATCTTAAAAAGCTCATATTCTGAAAATGTAAGTGGTTGTAGATGTTTGAATTGTTTTTTCAACCAATAGTTGGGTGTACTGTTTGGATTTATGTCTGAAATAGCTAATAACGATTTTCACATTGCTAGTGAAGTATGCGAGAATCATATTGATTGCTGTGAAAAGTAAGAGCAGTTATTGCATCAGACACTGTCAATTAAGAGCTATGTTAAATGTGATGTTGCATGTTTAGTCACTGGGAACAGATACATTTAGGACCGGCACTGAAACTAGCACAAGCTGAAGACTGGCCATTTTTTTTTATGTTTTGCATATTTCCCTCTGAAGTGTGTATTTTTTTTTTTTTTGCCAGTGCCTAGTACTTCGTAATGAACTACTGCTTGTTTTTTTTTTTTTTTTTTTTTTTTTTTTCCTTGTAGCAAAAAAGCCCAACGCAAGGCAAAATCTGCTTTTGTCCTATCCTCCCTTTTCTTCCAGTTACTTTGATCCTGAAGTCGGGCTTTTACTAAAATTAGTGTTTATATTCCAGCTTTTATCCTGTCCTATAGCATGTGGGAGGTTGTCTGTCAGAGTTGGCCCTGTATTTAGAGTAGTGGCCATATTTAGATAGTGGAAGTAAATTTAGTACTATAAAGGTACCAGAAGGCATGTGGGAAACCATACAACTTTTGTGAACTGGTTATATTTCCCATATGAATATAAATCTAGATTTTAAAGTGTAATGAGGTAGCAAGGGCATTCACAGACTAGCTTTTATGAGTGTCAAGGTTTGTAACCATTTTATCAGAAGCTAGTTTGCTAATGGCATGAAATGTTTAATAAGGGTAGTGTGCAAAGATGCACATGCCAAACAGTTAACTAAAATGGTGCACGTGAAGTGAGCTCAAAAGAGTACAGAATGGTTAAAAAAAAAAAAAATCTTACTTTGCAGTGGGGTTGCCCAGCACTGCAAGAATGATGTGCTTGTTTGAGGCTCCATGTACACTGCAGCTGATAAACTCACGTTTAGGAGCTTTTCTGTGTTTTTTTTTCAGCAGCCCCTGAACTCGCCTTAAAGTTTTCCTATGTGTACACTATTTCATTTACAGGCAGTTGAGTTTACAGTCGTTTTTTTTGAACACACACCAAACTTGCGTTCAGAAGTAGATTTTATCAGCGTTTCAAATGCCAAATGCTTGTAAACATGGCTAACAGTGTTTATAAGCGTTTGCATTTGGAAAATTTGTTTTAACTCTTCCATTTCTAGATGCTGTCCAGAGCCTTTTCTTCACCATGAAAAATGCATGCAAAGCGTTTTCCCAGTACTCAAATGGACCTGGTACACCATACTTTGAGGTTTTGCATGAAAGAAAATGTTAGACACTGCTGCAATAATTTCTGCACAGAAAAGAGCTGGAACACATCCAAACACCACAAAAAAAAAAAGACCTCTAATCTCAACAAAATACTGTTCTCTCTGCTTCTGCTCTTTCTCTCAAAATGTCTGAAACCGTTAATTTCTTACTGTTTTTCAGTGCATTCTCTGCATTTTGGAAGGTCTCCTGAGGTTATCTTTAAAAAAACGCTTCTAAACGCAAACGCTTGTAAACGAGGTGTGCAAACGTGGCTAAATAGACTTTTTTTAACCTACGTTTTCCAGCAGTCCGTTTCCATTGTTCAGAAGTGTTTTCCAAACATCCCGTGTACATGTAGCCTAAATGATTTAAAAGAGTAGTCTTACTTGTTTGATCATCTGCTGTTGCAGCAGTCAGAGCTCCCCCACACTCCAGTGATGGGCTGTTCCTCCGTGTGCTCACATCCATGAGCTCTGAATTAGACTTGATGGCATTAGAGGACCTGCTTCTTCTGGAGAATAGGGGAGAAGAACCTGCAGGGACTTCTTGCAGTATGGAGGGAAGCCTGCAGGAGTAGAGGATCAGGTGAGTAAAATGGCTTTTGTTTTCTAGGGTTAAATGCTCATTTAGGTCTAGGCGGTGTGGTGGGCAACCCCATTACAGGGGAGCTTTTTCACTTTCCTTGGAGTCAGGTTTTAAGACCTCTGTTGGGCTTTTTTTTTCCCCCTGTCTGTTATTGGGAGCTTTATTTTCACTTTCTGTCAAAAAAGACACAGCAAGACAAAAAGGAGATCTCTCCGAAGTGTAAGGATATCTGCTCCTTAGGCAGTGGCAACGAGAACAGGTTTTACTCCCTCTTCTGTTGCAGTGACAGCTCAAAAGTGTTTCTTGGTTCCTCTTATGTTCTGTACCAGAGACAGTGGTTCCCAGGAGTGAGCATGAATCTGCCCAGTGGGGGTAGACAGCAACTACAAACACCCCCCCCCCCCCCCCCACTGTCTCTAAAACTACAAAGAAAGGGTCTAACGTGGAACTTTACACAGGACAACTTGATAAAAAATAATGTTCTTTAGCAAGTATACAGTGGGGATCGAAAGTTTGGGCACCCCAGCTAAAAAACTTGTATTAATGTGCATAAAGAAGCCAAGGAAAGATGGAAAAATCTCCAAAAGGCATCAAATTACAGATTAGACATTCTTAGAATATGTCAACAAAAGTTAGATTTTATTTCCATCATTTACACTTTCAAAATAACAGAAAACAAAAAAATGGCGTCTGCAAAAGTTTGGGCACCCTGCAGAATTTATAGCATGCACTGCCCCCTTTGCAAAGCTGAGACCTGCCAGTGTCATGGATTGTTCTCAATCATCGTCTGGGAAGACCAGGTGATGTCAATCTCAAAGGTTTTAAATGCCCAGACTCATCTGACCTTGCCCCAACAATCAGCACCATGGGTTCTTCTAAGCAGTTGTCTAGAAAACTGAAACTGAAAATAGTTGACGCTCACAAAGCTGGAGAAGGCTATAAGAAGATAGCAAAGCGTGTTCAGATGTCAATATCCTCTGTTCGGAATGTAATTAAGAAATGGCAGTCATCAGGAACAGTGGAAGTTAAAGCAAGATCTGGAAGACCAAGACAAATATCAGACAGAACAGCTCGCAGGATTGTGAGAAAAACAATTCAAAACCCACGTTTGACTGCATGATCCCTCCAGAAAGATCTGGCAGACACTGGAGTTGTGGTACACTATTCCACTATAAAGAGATACTTGTACAAATATGGTCTTTATGGAAGAGTCATCAGAAGAAAACCTCTTCTACATCCTCACCACATAAATCATCGTTTGAACTTTGCAAATGAACATATAGACAAGTCTGATGCATTTTGGAAGCAAGTTCTGTGGACCGATGAGGTTAAAATTGAACTTTTTAGCCGGAATGAGCAAAGGTACGTTTGGTGAAGAAGGGGCACAGAATTTAATGAAAAGAACCTCTGTCCAACTGTTAAGCATGGGGTTGGATCAATCATGCTTTGGGGTTGTGTTGCAGCCAGTGGCACAGGGAACATCTCACGAGTAGAAGGAAAAATGGATTCAATAAAATTTCAGCAAATTTTGGATGGTAACTTGATGCCATCTGTGAAAAAGCTGAAGTTAAAGAGAGGATGGCTTCTACAAATGGATAATGATCCTAAACACACCTCGAAATCCACGGGGGATTACATCAAGAGGCGTAAACTGAAGGTTTTGCCATGGCCTTCACAATCTCCTGACCTCAACATAATTGAAAATCTATGGATAGACCTTAAAAGAGCAGTGTATGACAGACAGCCCAGAAATCTCAAAGAACTGGAAGACTTTTGTAAGGAAGAATGGGCAAAGATACCTCAAACAAGAATTGAAAGACTCTTGGCTGGCTACTAAAAGCGTTTACAAGCTGTGATACTTGCCAAAGGGGGCAGTACAAGATATTAACTCTGCAGGGTGCCCAAACTTTTGCAGACGCCATTTTTTTGTTTTCTGTTATTTTGAAAGTGTAAATGATGGAAATAAAATCTAACTTTTGTTGACATAGTCTAAGAATGTCGAATTTGTAATTTGATGCCTTTTGGAGATTTTTCCATCTTTCCTTGGCTTCTTTATGCACATTAATACAAATTTTTAGCTGGGGTGCCCAAACTTTCGATCCCCACTGTACATTCCACATTAAAAATTATGGTAACAAAATAAGTGTGAGCTGTAAATTGCCTCCAGCATTGCTCCTGTTTCTTCTTGCTGGAGGCTGCCATTTTGCTGAAGCCCAGAGACCCTGAGCAGCATTAAATCTTTAGGCTCTCAGCAGATTGGCCTCTACATTTTTGGCACAATGCCAAAAAATAGCAACTGAGCATGTGCAAAGCAGGGTGAGATAGTGTATTACTGTCTATTATGTCTGCAATAAATGTGTTTGTACACACAAATTTGGATAACATTGATAAAAATGGCCCAGTAAGTTGACTTAGGCCTCATACACACTGGATGGTTTTGCTATCTTTCCTATATTCCGTTCCTCCCGGCAGTGGTGTTTTGGCAGGAAAAACTCTTGTAACGCATTTAGGCGCGTCAAGTGCTTGGGTGGTAATTAATTTCATTGGCCAGCATAATATATTCTGACTAAAATGAATTAATGCTCAAGTGCTAAATGCTCCTGGTGATAACGTGCGTTTAGAAAGGTTTACATGCGTCAAGCATCTTTCTTTGGCAAATTCTGCTGCTCCTGGATGTGCTGTCAGTGGACTTAATTTTTCTGCCTTTTAACTGCCTCCCGCCCGCCATATAGTACAATGATGGGTGCAAGGCGGTTCTCTCATTCTGGGAGGACGTCATATGACATCCTTCCATTCTAACGACACACTCCGGGAGCGCGCAGTGTGGCGATTGGCGGTGCGCTGTGTCCCTCGGACACAGCAGATCACCGATCAACGGAAAGAGCCGAAGATGTTGGCTCGGTTATGTGATCAGCTGTGTCCAATCACAGTTGATCGCATGTAAATAGGGAAATGCCGGTTTTCGGCATTTCTCTTCTCACGAGCTGTCAGCGAGCTCGAGAGGAGAGCCGGTAATCGGCATCCCTCAGAGAGGACACTGATGATCAGTGTAGCCCCAGCAGTGCCACCTGTCAGTGTCCATCAGTGCCAGCTGTCAGTGCTCATCCATGCCACCTGCCAGTGCCCATCAGTGCCACATCAATGCCACATTTCAGTGCCTACCAGTGCACATCAATGCCACATACCAGTGCCCATCTGAGCTGCCTTTCAGTGCCACCTGTCAGTGCCGCCTATCGGTGCCCGTCACTGCTGCCTTTCAGTGCCCATCAATGATGCTTGTCAATGCCCATCAGTGCCACCTACCAGTGCCTCCTCATCAGTGCCACCTATCAGTGTCCATCAGTGCCCATCACTGCAGCCTCATTAGCGCACATCAGTGAAGGAGAAAAATCATTTTTTTTTTTTAAACTGCTGACAGGTGGGGTTTTTATGAGACAGATCCAAGTGGTCTCTTCTGTAATAACTGCCACTCCTGGCCTGTCAGCAGTAATGTAATCTCATGTGTTGCGAGTCGTGTGTGCACAACTCAGACCACATTTACGGCACCTTCGCTGTGCTGTGTTTCTGTGACTCCCGTGTGCATCCTTGTGGCCTGGCCATTCAAGTGGCTGAAGATACGGAACTCGGAAGATAAACTAGGTGAAAGTGCTCAGGACTCGCAGGATCAGTGACAGTTGAGAGCTAGAGGGCACATTATGATGGCATATACCTGCAGGGGGAAAGGTGAAAACATTTTTTCAAAATCGAGCTTAATACCATTTTAAGTACGCTTTACAATAATACTACAAGTTACTTTGGAAATCTCCCCACTTAGTATTTTCAGTCAGCACATATTTGGAGTAATTATTTGCTGAGCATAGCTCCAAGTTGTTATTGTTACCAAATGTTTTGACTTTTGCATTTTTTTTATCCTTGTGCTTTTATTTTTGTTATTGCATTAACCAGTTCAGTTCTCCCTCGAGTACACACTTCATGGACCAGAGCAATATTTAAATCTGGGCAGGTGATTTATTAACTTTTTTTTTTTGTAAATCCTGCAGTTCTTTTAAGGGAACAGAAGGCTTTTATTTGGTACAATCATACTCCCCTAAGTGGATGCAGCATCGATTCAATGCTGACTTTTTCCCCACCACCTCTAACACAAAGAACTGAGCGATCAAAGACCACTGATCGCTCAGTTCTTGGTCTTCAGAGAGCAGTGATTGTTAGTCTTCGGCTCTCTGCTCTTCCCCTTCAGTGTTCAGTGGAGCATCAGGCTGTGGAGAGGGCAGGAGCGTCTGTCTCAGGCTCTCAGCGGAACGTTGTGAGGCTGAGCCAGCTGCTGCTCAGGCATCTGGGTGGATCCCGACATTATTGTCAGGATCCTTGAAGGGTCTGCACCGTCTGAGTGACTTTGGCCAGCAGCGTACTTTTTATGTTTCATGGCATTCTTTAAATTTTATCTTCCATACTATTTTACATACTGCCCTGAATTTATAATGTCTTTACATAGTGTCCATACCTAGATGTGAAATATTTGTTTTCTGCTGTATTAGTACACATTCATATACCAGGAGACTCACACACCAACAGCTTCAGCTGCTGTTTGCCCTTATCCTTTCAGCTTGTGCGTAGTTGATTGTAAGTTGTTAAAGTAATGAGATCTCATCACATAGTGTTCCCATTACTAGGTGGCATATCCCTTTCATTTATATGAACATTGTAGTGTCTGTTTTTATTGTTGGGTGCCAGAAGTGTAATTCAACATTTGTAGGCATAAATATAGAATAAATAATGTTCAGTCTAAATAGCAATGTGTAGTCAAAGCTGGTAGCAAATCGTGTCTTTGGGCTGTACCTAGGTGCATCCCTGTTTGAACAATTCAGAGTAAATTAAATGGCAACTACCCTAAAGAACATACATGCAAGTAGTTTGAATTTCTATTATTAGAATATGCAAATGATCAACAACTAGCAGACTATTGATGTCTACAACCCAGCTTTTAACAGGATTGAGCAATGCTTTATTTGGCGGTAATTGGGTCATTCCACTAGAGAGGACATCAAGATCAGATGCACAAAGTCCCAAACATGTACTTTTTCTTGTGTTGTCTACCAATGCTATAAATGTAAGAAGGAGCACAGGATAACCATTAGCACAGTTCAATGTACAATTTCCTTTTCTTCTTTTTTTTTTTTTTTTTTTTTTTTTTCAAACAGTTGGGAGATGGGAGGTTGATGTTTGCCCAGTTATGGGCATTAAAAGATAAACTGTGAAAGGTCTTGTTAATAAGTACACTGCTCAAAAAAATTAAAGAAACACTTTGAAAACACATCAGATCTCAATATTGATATCTATACTAATATGGGCTGTGTTATGTGTTAGGAATGTAAGGATGCCCCATTGTTTATTGGAAATTTAAAATTATTAACCTACAGAGGACTGAATTCAAAGACGCCCCGAAAATCAAAGTGAAAAAATGATTCAGCAGGCTAGTCCATTTTGCTGAAATATCATTGCAGTGACTCAAAATGGTACTCAGTAGTTTGGCCCCCACATGCTTGTATGCCTGACAGCGTTTGGGCATGCTCCCATGAGATGACGGATGGTGTCCTGGGGTATTTCCCCCTAGGTCTGGACTAGGGCATCACTGAACTCCTGGACAGTCTGAGGTGCAACCTGGCATCGTCGGATGGACTGAAACATGATATACCAGCGGTGTTCTATTGGATTTAGGTCAGGCGAGCGTGGGAGCCATTCAATGGTATCAATTCCTTCATCCTCCAGGAACTGCCTGCATACTCTCGCCACATGAGGCCGGGTATTGTTGTGCTCCAGGAGGAACTCAGGACCCACTGCACCAGCGTATGGTCTGACAATGGGTCCAAGTATCTAATCCCGATACCTAATGGCAGTCAAGGTGCCATTGTCTAGCCTGTAAAGGTCTGTGCGTCCCTGAAAAGTACAGGGCGCCAGTGGCGGACCTGCCAATTCTGGTGTTCAGTGGCAAATGCCAAGCAAGCTCTATGGTACCAGGAAGTGTGCACAGGGCCCACTAGGGGATGTTTTGGCCCTCAGGCGCCCTCATGAAGTCTGTTTCTGGTTGTTTGGTCAGAGACATTCATACCAGTGGCCTGCTGGTGGTCATTTTGTAGGGCTCTGGCAGTATTCATCCTGTTTCTCCTTGCATAAAGGAGCAGATGCCGGTCCTGCTGATGGGTTAAGGACCTTCTATGGGCCTGTCCAGCTCTCCTAGTGTAACTGCCTGTCTCCTGGAATCTCCTCCATGCTCTTGAGACTGTGCTGGGAGACACAGCAAACTTTCTGGCAGTTGGACTGCCTGTGCAACCTCTGTAGAGTCGAGGTATTGCCTTATGCAACCAGTAGTGATACTGACCCTAGCCAAATGCAAAACTAGTAAAAAAACAGAAAATATGAGTAGGGAAAAAAATGGCACTGTCCTCCACCTGTAAAACCATTCCTGTTTTGGGGGTCATCTCATTGTTGCCAGTCTAGTGCACCTGTTGTTAATTTCGTTAACACCAAAGCAGCTGAAACTGATTAACAACCCCCTCTGCTACTTAACTGACCAGATCAATATCCCAGGACTTTAATAGACTTGATGCTATACGCTGATTAAAAGGTGTTCTTTTTATTTTTTTGTGCAGTGTATATTACTGGGACAAAGAAGCTATTAAGTAGAAGAAAAAACTACCTCATTTAATAAACCACAGTATTATGATTTAGTAAATGGTTTTCTTTTCAGCACAGGATGAAGGTGATTTTACTTTCAGGGTCCATGCACACTGGGCTTAGAAAACTTAGAAAAAGGCGTTTTGTGTTTTTGCCTGTAGAAGCAGCTCAATGTTATTCTATGTGTCTGTGCACATTAGGATGTTAAGAGGCACGTACAATCAATCATTTTTTGCTAGAAAATTAATTGCATGAGCACAGAGGCACGTTACATTTTTTTTAAAATTATTTATTTTTACACTTGCTTTTTTTTTTTTTTTTTTCTTCTTTTTTGGATCCCTTTTTATTGCTGTTACAAGGAATGTAAACTTCCTTGTGGCAACAATAGGCACGGCCAGGCGGCAGACATGCTAGTTATTTGATCTGAGTTCATTTCACTATATTGACCATGCGATAAGGAGGTTTGTTGGATTTAAATGCCAAAAACACATGGAGTTTAGTTTTCAGAATTTCTAATCAACTTTGAATAATAATAATGAAAAAATACCCTTACATTTAGGTTATCCTTTTATTGTATAAATTATGTAGGATGCCAGTAATGACAATTGGTTGCCAATTGTTACTGACTTGGAGCAGGTACAGATATAAGCAGTCCAACGCTTTTCTGACATCCTTTTACAGCATGCTTATAAAGAGTCTGCAACTTCAAAGTATTGAGGCCGGACACTGCCTTGCAACTAACTTAAAAAAAAAAAAAAAAAGGCCACTAGTGGCTGTTTTTGTACTTGCCTACTTGTGTATATAAACTCACATTAGGGTGTATAGGGTTGTAACCCTGAGATAGGAAGTGTTACTGCCTTTATCACAAGATGAAAACAAAGGGGAAAAGCCTGGAAAAAAGAAAACGAATGCAGCTAATACAGATCAGATGCAGTATATTATGTTCTAGTTGTTCAGGGGCTTAGACATGTTTTTAGAGACTTCAGTGGCCATTAAAGAGTTGTAAACACCAGTGGCTGCATTTTACTGCCACAGCTAGTGTGCGCTCTGAAGGGAACAGTGCAGATGTGCTGTAATGACTCATCAGCGTGTTTTACTTTTTTTTTTTTTCGTTCAGCTTTCTTGAAATGTCACAAAATTAAATTTCATGCATCTTTATGCAATGCAGCACATTGTGTTGTGGTGTAGTGTGCTGCATAAAAATGTAGTATGTATTACTGTTTTTCAGCACACACCACTGCAGTGCCGTGGTGTGAAATGAGCTCATAGGACTCAAAGCGATTCTAAAGCCTTACATTATTTTTTTTCTAAAAATAACAAACATGTCATACTTACCTGCTGTGTGTAGTGGTTTTGCACAGAGCAGCCCGGATCCTCCTCTTTTCAGGTCCCCCACAGGCTCCTGGCTCCTCCTTCCTGTCGGGTGCCCCCACAGCAAGCAGCTTGCTATGGGGGCATCCACTGCTCTGTGTATCCATTCACACACAGAGCCGCGGCTTGGCCTCTCACCCTCTC